AATTTTAAAACATACAGCGTTTCCATGTTCTGTTCACACAACTGCCTCTTGTTCCATGTACAGATTCCTCATGAGCACAATTAAGTGTTCTGGAATACTTATACTTTGCAATGTTGTCCATGAAGATGAGAGATGTCAAAAAAATTCAGAAAAGATAAGCTGATGGCAGGATGGAGGAAGCAAACTAAATGCTGTAAAGGGGAAAGCCTATGAGAAGTTAACCAGTTGTCATCACAGAATTTTAGAAATTCAGCTGTAGTGAATGTTTCTTTACCAACTATTCTTCTAATGGCGTAATGGACAAGGGACTTAAGAGAGTGTGGAAGCACACCACTATTTTTTCATTTCATTTTTCCGTGAAATTTTTGAAGCTCCCTCATATACATCATTAGGCCATTAGAAGAATGGCCTAATAGACAACACTGAATATATATCATTGAATGTGTCAGGGCTTTGAACAGGGTCTTCTCAGTTCAGTCAAGGCTGATGAAATGAAACTGGAATCGACTGGTAAAATGTAATGTAGGGGGACTGGAAAGGGAAAAATTAAGAGTCAACAACATACTAGAAACTTAATCTGCCTCTTAAAAAAGAAGGACAGTGCACGAGTTGCATAGTAATCAAGTCTCTTGACCACCAGAATTGGAAACAATAACGTTTGCTCCAAGATGGCGTCTGATTGTGCAGCTGTGAACGTCTCTCCACAGTCCTGGCAGGATCCAGACTCCCGAATCAGGCTCCTGAAAGGGCTCGCTCCCTCTCTTCTAAGTCTCCCATTCCAGGGCTTCAACCTGCAATTTTCCCGTTGTGGTTAACATTCCACTTCATCCACATTCTGCAAAGTTGGGTCCTTTCAGCTTTTACTGCATTGGCCATGACTGCATGAGCTTGAACCAGTTTGAAGCCCTAGTAAGTGCTCAGAACTGAAGTGAATGGATTTTACCTTGGGGTCACTCCATCTGTCCCTGGTGCTGCTTCTACATATGCAGGAGCATGTAAATAGGGATTCAGTTGACTAAGTGAACAGTTGGCCTAGTTCTCTTTTTTGGAAGTGAGCTTGAGGATTGATGTTTTCTTGGATCCATATTAAGACTAGACAACATTCATGGATATCCGTCGGAGGCCTATAAGAACTTGTGTGGGTTTGATGTTGTTGTTAGGTGCCATGGAGTTGGTACCAACTCATAGTGACCTGATGCACAACAGACAGAAACACTACCCCATCCTGCACCAATCTCGTAACCATTGCTATACCTGAATCCATTGCTGTTGCTACTGCGCCAATCCATCTCACTGGGGGTCTTCCTCTTTTGTCGCTGACCCTCCACTTTACCAAGCATGATGTCCTTCTTCGGAGACTGGCTCTTCCTGATAATATGTCCAAAGTCTGAGCGACGAAGTCTGGCCATCCTGGCTTCTGAGGAGCATTCTGGCTGTAGTTCCAACACAGATTTGTTTGGTCTGAGAGTCCATGATATTTTAAATATTCTCCTTCAACACCATGATTCAAATGGACAACAGCAACAAATACTGCCCTTATATGTTTGCACACACAAAATAGAAATGTATACTCTGGAAACACTGAAGTGACTGCTTCATGAGGACTTTGCAACTTTCTCTGAGAGGAAAGTTCTATGAATTTCACTAAAAAGGCTCAGGAGTGCAGAGTGAATTAATTTGGTTGACTTGCTTTATCTGGTTTCTCATTTTCTTTCAATTTAAACCTGCACATCAAAGAGCATTGTTCACAAGTATCCATCCAGCGGACTCCCGGATGGAAAACCTGGTATTGAATTGTGTGACTCTCCGCAGCTTTCTTTATTGTACAGTGCGTTTCCCCTGCTAAAGCACTTGATTAATGCAAACTAGAACCTTGAGACGGCAGTCATATGAATGATGGTTTGATTATTCTTGATAGTTATCCTTTAGGAAGACACTTATTACCTATGGAAGATATGATACTGCAAATTTAAATAACAGACTATCACCAAAATGCCTGAAGTAAGGGGGAAACAAAACAAAACAGCTCCCTAACTTTGAGCCTAAGGATAAAAGAGAACAGCTTTGCTGTTACAGGCACTGAGGATAGTTGTTTGTTTGTTTGTTTGTTTTGAGTTTGGAGAAGATGGTGACAGCTGTTGAAAAAGAATATCAGATTTAATTCTGAGTTAAGGGAGTTTGCCTGCAGACAGGAATATTCCACACTGGTCCCCCTTTCCCCTCAGTTTTCAATAATTCTGCCTTGTTTCAGGTACTATAATCACTGTGTACTATTTCATTTGCCATGATATTGCAAATCTAATAATGAATGCTATATTCCAACAGAGCTATTGCCGTGATCGGTTCTTTTATTGGTCTGATACATGATATCCAATTACAGCTACAAAGCCCAGAGTTGGCAAGCATGACAAAAGATGGATGCCAAAATGTGTCTCTCAGTCATCTCACCATGTGTAACTGAAGGAGCGCCGACTTCAGTAATTATGTTAATCAAAGGAAATAGGGTCTGAGGATAATAATAAGGCCATTCTGCTAACAGGGCATAGTTTATAAATTATTAAACAGAGGAATGATTTGAATAGCCCATTAACATACTAGTTTAAAGTAGATAAGCTAATCATTTTAAATGGATAATGAGTGTCAAACTTAAATATGCTTTCATGAAAATATTAATATTGTTTTTCTTGCAATATGTGAGATAGCATGACACCCCAAATAGTCACAAGGTAAGGATATTTATGTCGTTGTTAAGTGTCATAGAGTTGCTTCCAAGGGTTTCAGAGGAGCAGCTTGTGAGTTTGAACCGCCAACGTTGCGATTCTAACTAACCTTGTGGTCCAGTGCTTACCATACAGTACCACACCAGGACTCCTCTATAATTAAGGGTGCATGCATGTATGCATATTGTTGTTGTTGTTATTAAGTGCTGTTGAGTCAGTTTTGACTCATAGCGAGCCTCTA